GAGCAGCATTTGATCGGGCAGATTATTGTGCGCTCTGGGATGTCACTGACTTTGACAACGAGTTCCCCGTTGAGACGTGACCTCGGCCAGGGTCAGACAGCCCTCTTCAGCCTCTGATCCTCCTGTGCTGTACTGGGACATCTTAAATCTCATGGAGGCATGACTGTGCATTCATAGCAGATTATTCTCAGTAAACCCACACAGAGAGGAGCCGTCTGCGCTCAGACTGAATGGAGCATTATATTTCTTAATGCGGCAAATAAGGATTAAGGCATTAAACCAAATATAGTTCTCATGATAGCTGGAGGAAGCAATTATCCTCAGCATGCGCATGTTTCCTTTATAGGCACCCACATGCTAAATTTGAACAAACGTGGGAATATCACAACCTTGGAGGTTTAATGTGTTGGATTTAATGATGTTCTTCAAAGCACTGAATGTTTTCTCACCAAACAAAATCAACCGCTGTTATATTGCTATATATGTCAATAAAACCGCATCGGATTGATGGAAGACAATTATGAAACGATTAAGAAGTCACCAGAAGTGCATTTGTTGAAGATAACACATATGAAAGTTATATCTCGTAATCAATAATGCTTCAAAAGATACAAATATCAATAAATAACAGGCAGTTGAGATAATGACCAAAAGCCATTTGGTTTTTAATCATACATTTTAATGGCTAAAAGAAACCAAAGAAACACATGTTCACATGAAAATGTTTTAACCCTAGATGCACGAGTGACTGGACCCTACACTCTTCCATAAGTGGGTCAAAAAGGACCCGTATTAGAATAATATGGGTTTTTATGCCATTTTGGTTAAGAAAAATCACTTGTATAATATTTAGTATTATATTTTGGTTCACACTAGAAATATTTTATATTTAATTGTTCACTATTTAACATTTTTGAAATTGTTTTTACATTTTGAAAGAAAAACGAAATTCCATAGGAAATGCATGTGGGTTATTTTTGACCCACTTATGGAAGCTTGGGGTAGTAATACAAAAACTACAATTTCTTAAAATGTATTCAATTTAAATTTCAATGGCATGATATCCAAAACATGTTTTTTGAGGAATAGCTGGAATATGAAATGATACAATTTTTTAATTACAAAGATACTCTAAGAAAACCACCTCACCGGGTCAAAAACGACGCACTTATGCATCTAAGGGTAAACCATTAATTTGATGATTTAATTATGAAATAAAGAGAGAAATGGAAAGAGAATTGATCAAATAGATGGAGTAATAAAATAAATTATGTAATGACCTCTTGTGTTTTGTATTACTAAATTGCCCTTTAACATGGTCACCTCGTTCTCTCTGACAGAATGAGTCATCATATGTTGCTTTAGTTAGAGCAGCTGAGCAAGAACTAAAATGGCTGTGTTTATGTTTTATTTTATATTCACAGTAACCACCAGATGGCGGCAATATATTTGAGATTTATTTCGTTTCACCTCTCCTCATGTGACCTTTTCTCCTTCAGTGTGCTCCCAGGAATCCTGGTACAACATGCATACTCAGGGTAAAAGGATTACATTGAGTCATTACACTAACATCAACACACAAGTGTCAGGAGGCGAGGTTAAATCCTAATTGGACGACATCTAATCAGAGGAAAAATGATGACTCATAAATATCAAAGGGTGAAGATTACCAGGTAACTTCAGACAGATTAACCTTCATATCGTTAGCTGGGGCAAAAACGTTTTAATTATACAAATTAAATGATATGACATTGCCCCCAGATGATCCAACCAAAAACAAACTAATTCGATATGTGTCATTGACTCGTGATTTACCTTACGTCGATTTAATTTGTTGACACACCCTTTAAGGCAGTGCAAACAGAATGATTATATTTAGTGTCATCTGCTTTTTTATTTTGAAATGAGTCATCTGACGGGTCAAGACACTTGTGACAGGTCAAAAATATTGACGTCTTACTTCCTGTGTCTTTATGATGACTCAGATAGTGACTGTGGGTATCAATCTAAGAATTCTCTATGTTGCGCAAGTATCATAGTACCATAGAAAACCTGACAACCACTGGATATGTTATGAGGAAATTAATTGGAAGTGTGAGAGAAATTCCCATGCTTGTGCTTGTATAGGCTTGCTTAGGCATGGGATAGGTCTTTTTTTCGGTGGCTTCTATTATGTTTTTTGAATTTAACAGCAGTTGCTAAATAAAACCTGTTTAGCTGGTGAAGTAATTAAATCAATTACTGGTGTGACTTTGAAGCCGTTGCCAGGCCAAAGCTATAAAAAAAAAAAATAAGGTCAAAAGAAAAACTGAATTTTAAAAGCATGGTTCAGTCAGTTTAACAATTATTAAAAAATGTCACAATTACACACATTTATATATCAAAGATTTATTTCAAAATGTGAAGTTTGAAGCCAAAATCAGACTTTCTGGGTGTACAAGTTGTTATCGGGATTTCCTCTCATGTCGTCATAGTAAACTGGTGAGAGCTGGTTCTCCTTTAGGGCACAATGTAGTGCTCCTTCAAAATACAACTCACAGATCTCCACCTTTTGATAGTGTGTCAGAGGAATGTGTTTACCAGGGCTGTAGCTAAGGATTGTTTTTTATTATTACAATCTGGTGGTTAAGGTCAGAGTTCAGTGTGGGTTTTATAATGGCCATCTCTTCAGTAGGTGGCTTTGCAAATGCAATTTAAAACAGGGAATTTAAACAGTAAAAATAAGCTTAGATTTCTTTGACCACTTAATAAGGGCTACAGCTAACGATTATTTTATAAATAAATAAATTAGTTGTTATGTCTAAAAAAGGCCCGAAAGTGTTTTCAAAAAATCCCCATTCAGAGTTTTCCAAAACCCAAAAGGATGTATTTAAATGTGTTTTTGATTGCAGATTATTCAGTTTACTGTCTAAAGATAGTAAAGCTACCAGAATTTATTCACATTCAAGATGCTGGAATCAGACATTTTCGCTTTTTCTTTCCTAAGACAATTGTGCAAACCAATCAATTAAAAAAGTGTATTTATGCGATTAATTTAATAGTGAATAATTATTCAATTATTTGAATAATCTTGCAGTAATGCAGGTTAAGTGTATACTTACAACGAGTGTACTGACGTGTCCATACGTGCTCACCTAATTAGGATAAAGGATATCAATTGATAAAAACACAAGGGTTAGGAAATGCATCACATCAATTGCTTACCACAAAAAAGAAGTTGTGTTTTTCTGATCGCACAAAAGAGTGTCTTAGGTGCCATTTATAGATAATAAAGGCGGTCAGAAGTGGGAGTAGAATCATGGTGTTGAGTATTAAATACTGAAATGTTGATTACAGACTCTTTGTCTCTTATATTTCCTTTTGTTAGGGAATGTTTCAGTCATACATTCTTTATTCAAATACTGAGTCAGTACAGTATCAGTGATCATTCAAACCAGACTCTGAACAACATCTACAAACCATGACTCATACTCTGTTTACAATAAATGGTGATAACCAGAGATCCTTTCTAAGAAGTCCTCTACACATTTTAAACATACTTGTAAGGATTTTATAATTTGGTTATGTCACTGAATATAACTATTATTATAGTTAGAATCACTCAAACATATTCATAATGCCTGATTACAATAATCACAACACAATATAAAGCCTTCATAATGACTTATAAGGTCAAATATCATACAGCTTTATAATTGCTGGTCAGACATTATGTTGGATAAATTGTAGTTTACTTTACTTAAAACCAACAATTGCGAATGACAGAAACTGAAAAATTAACTTGTCATGAATTAGATCTCCCTATACTTCAGATTAGTTAATGGATAATGCAATATTTCAGGATTATGATATACAATGGTAATTATGTTTTAATAGTGTTCTTGCAAAAAATGGTCAGTGTGTGACCAACAATTACGAAGTATTATGGTACTCGACCTTACAAGTCATTATAAAATGCTTTATATTGTGTTATGATAATTGAGAAGTATTTATGAGTGCCTACAACTATAATTATACAGTGTTATAAGCAGATAAGTCATTATTAGAATGATTATAGAACGTGTTACCGATAGTTTCATTGAAAGTGTACAGTAACTCTGATGTAAGGCACTATGATATCATAACAACAGGATCTATCAAAGCACAATACTCACAACTGTTTATGCCCGCGAGCCACACCTACTGCCGTTAGTTGATTTTCCTGGTTTCAAATTGCACCTCCTCCATGTCAGAGTGGAGTACAAGTCAACTCTGCTGAACTGGAGAATAAAGCATACACCTCTGTCAGAGAAGGGCCATTTATTTTTCCTACAACTCATGACAGTTGCACACATATATGAAACCTAAAAAATAGTTATTTGAATGAAAGAATGTTAAATTATCTTATGTAATGCAATTCTTGCTGGTAGTCAGGCCTGTAAATGAAGGGGTGAAATGCCTTGACATTACTATTATCAATTAGTATTACGTTTTGTTTTTTTAAAGGAACTCATGTTGAGCCTTAATTGTAAAGCCACAAATGCTATGCATACATACAAAATGCATGGCTCTTTCCTCTATGCTTTTTACACAATTCAATATTCAACAATGTTGCAAAATTCCTTACTAGTTTTGAAACTTCCTGTTTTAATTGCTTATCTCATGGTTAGACTATACATTGTAGGACTTACATTATTAAGTGTAGACTTTGTTGTGGTAGGCTACTATCCCTATCAAATAATATGGCATTAAATAATATAGGTTGGTTTATAATAAAATGTACTTTTTAAAAACAAATTCTGTATCGTCCATCATATTTATAAGAAACAAATACAAACCAAATCATTAACCGAATTATTAATATTATACATTTTCCTTGTTTGAGTCAGCGTAGGCGTAGGGGGTCTGTGTCAGGAAACCCTTTCATCATGAAACTCCAGGTGTTTGCTGCTACGGCTGATGAGTCGAAACTACGTGCGCGTCCCCGCCCACCTGCTACAGAAACCGCCTAAAAAAGCTCGCTCCCGCTACTCCCTCCCCATTCAAGGTGCGGCAGAGGAACAGGTGCGTGAAGAATCTCAGAGACACTTTATAAATCGAAAAACCACCGTTGTTTAAACATTTTCAGAAAGCGAAGGAATACTTCAATAGAGTAACAAGAGGACTTAACTTTATCAGTAACACAGCAAACTTAGCTAAACGTCGACAGTTAGTGAGGAGAGGGGGATTTTTACCTTCACAGCAGGTGGACGTCGTCTGTGTTGTTTCCGCCGTCAAATCAAAGAAGAAGTAGGAAAATGGCCAACAAAGGTCTGCAGATTTTGGGATTCGCCCTGTCCCTTATTGGCTTAATTGGACTGATAATTGGCACAATTTTGCCCCAGTGGAAGATGTCCTCTTATGCTGGGGACAACATCATCACGGCGATAGCCATGTACGAAGGACTGTGGATGTCCTGCGCGTTTCAGAGCACGGGCCAGATCCAGTGCAAGGTCTACGACTCTATGCTGCAGCTCAATGGTAAGTCACCCAATGGCTTCTAGCTCTGTGTCGTTTAAGTAAAAGCTTTATTTTGGTGACTAAAGTGTTTTATTTATTTAAGTTATTTCAACTAATTGTTCTGACCGTTTCCTATACCAAAACCTGCGTGTAACATGAAATGATGTAAAGGACCTGTTGGAATATACTCCATTAACTATTTTTTTGTACGCCATTTTCTACGTACTACTTCTTTGCTTCTTGGCTGTTAAAGATTCCTGTCTTGGTATAACCGGTTCTGTCACTTATTAACTCGACTTTTATTACACAGCCAGAATGCATTCGTTTTGTTTTTTTAAACGTACTATTCGGCCTCTCATGGTTCAGTGCCAGAGATTTATTGCAAAATAAAACGTATAAATTCTTGCATCTGTTCCCACGTGACAGGGTGTGAGCAGTCCTTTTACACTTCGGCAATGATTACCCCGTGGCCATTGTCCATTGTAGCGACCCCTCCTCCCGCATGGGTTTAGAAGCCTGCAGTCTATGACTTGCATTTCACAGCATAGTATCAGGTTAAATAACACCTGTCCTGTATGAGCCACTGTTTAGTCAACATGCCTGAATACCAGCCCCACAAACAGTTGCATTGTCTTTGGCCTACAGGCCTTCGAATTAACACAACAAACCCCTTCTTTGCTACGTTTTGGACCAAGAACAAATGACTTTTTATTTGTTATATATACATAACTTCTGTAGAAGTTTTAATCAAATGCAGCATTTGGTTTTATTTGTTTTAGTTTAATTGATTACAAAAGTCCCTGCTTCCGGGCTAAAGTATGTGGCAGTATGGAGGATAGTTCAGGGAAATTATTTAATGCATAACTAGTCATTAACTTGTGTAGTCATGTAAGCCATTATCAAAAGATAACAATTGTTACTTTTCCCTTTTTTCTTCTTCCTTCCTAAAGTCAAATATCACATGTTCCTGTACAGAATCTGTCTTTACGGCTCTTACATGGTATATTTTGAAGAAGTGGCTAAATGGGTCAACTGTGGCATGACATTTAGGTAATCTTTTTCATGCCACTGATGGATAGGTTGCCCTCAAGGCCCAACAGCCTGACTGTTGCAGGAAATGTTCTGCAAGGGTTGTTTAACGGCCCCTCCCTGTGAGGTGATCTTAGCTCAACACATTACTGAAATGCACTTTCATCTCTAACTAACTTGTTGAAACACCAGTTAGATAGTTGATTCACAAACTTCACTATCCTCTTCAAATAGTGTGAGTTTTTCCTTCTCTTGGGCCTATCCAAACACTTGATACTAATATTGGCAGCACTTGTCTTATCGCCTCTTCAAACATGAACACAAACCAACTTTGATAACCCTTGTGTGATTAAAGCTGTGGTTAGATATGGAGCAAGTGATCAAATAAAACATAATTATTCAGAAATGCATACTCAAAATAACCAACTCACATTTTATTTAGGAACAATAACAAAAGTGTGGCAACCAGATTGCTTTAGTTGACGCCATATAAGACATTCTTCAGATTCTAGAAAGGGTCCGTTTCTTCTCGGATAGTAAGCTGAAGCTACACAAAACTCCACCTGCTGAACAGCAGTCTGTGAGCACCTGACATTGGGGAGTGTCTTCCTTATAATGAAACCTGAAACCTAGTTAAACCTGTTTCTGCCCCGGCCCCCCCTCTAGTTTCTTGGGCTTCCGGTTAGAGCCAGTTTCTGTGGTTCGTTGTTACAGGGAGCGGCAATGACACACGGGGGACAGAAGTGGCTCTGTTGTTCCTGCGTGCTGTTGGTCTACACTTCTTTGTGTAGCCCCCAAATGGCGGACAGAAAACGCATAAAAGCAACAGTGCAAACACAAGTTTAGGCTTGTAACAACAGTGTTATCATGACGAATGACTGCAGAAATGACATCAAATGAAAATGAGTTTTTTTCTCCTTTGCCACCACACCCATGTGTGCACCTATACACAATAAGTGTTAGTCACAATCACTGATGGATTAACCCTATCCTGCCCTCTCTTCCAGGCGCCCTCCAGGCAACCCGCGCCCTCATGATCTTGTCCATCATCGTAACGGTGGCCGGCCTGGGCATCGCCTGCATGGGAATGAAGTGCACCAACTGCGGAGGAGATGATAAAACGCGCAAGTCACGCATCGCCATGGCCGGTGGCATCGTCATCCTGATTGGATGTAAGACGCCTTCTGATCTTGCTTTTGTTAACCTGTCCATTGACTCTTTACAGTTTTACTGATGCGTTTCCTTTACTTCCCCCTCAGCTTTGAGTGGCATTGTCGCCTGCTCTTGGTACGCTCACGACATCATCCAAGCCTTCTACAACCCTTTCACCCCCGTCAATACCAAGTGAGTTATCAAGATGCCAACTGCAGAATAAAAACACCTTTGGTTCCCTTTTGACGCTCTGCCTCGTATATGACCAGATACTTGCATACATCCACACACTCCTCTTATTGTTGGTAAATGTGTTGAGCATGTTTGAATGAGTTGAAGCTCCCTCTACCGTTTTTCTCATGACTGTAACTTGTCTCTCTGAAGGTATGAGTTTGGCTCTGCTATCTTCATCGCCTGGGCTGGAGCCTTCCTGGCTATAATTGGAGGCGGCATGCTGGCAGCATCGTGCCCAAGAGAAAAATCTACACCCAAATATCCCATCTCTAGACCCCCCAGCAGCAAGGAGTACGTTTGAAGAGGACAGAGCCCGGTTTAGATGCTGAAGGGACACTTTGACATTCACGCTTGTCAGAGATTTTAGGAAGTGATCCGTTTTTTTTAATATTTTTAGTTTCTGCAGGACCCTGATATGTTACTGTAATATTTTAACGCATTCAAAGTTTTAAATGATGGCTGTTTACTTCTTAAAGAGCCTATAGGCATTGCCCGGTCTGACGGTGCTTACTGGTTGTATACTATCCACCTGTAAAGCCCTAAGTTAGATTTAAGGTGGAACATCCAAGAATGTACAATTTGGTGTGTAGAAATATATGTTGCATGCTACGATGTGCAGTGCATCAGAGTGTACAGTGTTTGAATGCATTGAAAGTGGCAATGGTAAACTCTTACACCTTTCTATCCGGCACAGAGAAGCATTATGTCCATGTATTTGTGCCTTATTTATAACACAAGCATTCAGTAACACAGAAGGCCATTTTTGTTTTAACCAACTGCCAGAGGGATATTGTAACTATATACATTGCAGTATACTGATCCTTTAACACGTTGCCAATGTTGATATTGAATTCCCGATGTTGTGAGCAGACTATTTGTTGACCTATTGTGCGAATGGGCTTGACTTATTGCTACTATTATTTTAAGTCACAAAAACTGTTGCTTCACTGATCAAATTCAGTTTGTTTTTTTTAATTGTGATTTGCAAAGTTTGTGTTGTACATACAATAAAAGTGGAAAATATACAGATGGCTTGATATTTATTTATACAATAAAACAAATCTGCATGCTTAAAACAAGTTTTGAGTTTTGGGGAAATAGCATATTTATAATCCTGTAACAAAACAAACATGGAACAACCGAAGGAAGTCAAAGGGGAGCTGTTTAAACAAGTTCCCGTATGCTGACCTCATTAGTTCACTTTAATGAATACCGGTACTCAGACTTTCCTGTGTGAAATTAAAACATTAGGAATCCCTGATTACAGCTAAAAGGGTTCTATAATTTATAATAACCGCATTTAAAAGAAGTGTTTGAGCATTGCATGGAACAATTAAAGGCTCTGCACTAACCAACTGAAAAAGTACAATAACAGTTCACAAGCTGTCCTTGAAGTCATATTGAACAATATACAGTGCATGCTGTGAAACAGAATCGCACAGTTGGCATATCGACAGGTTTAAGCAATGATGTCTGGTTGCAGATGATTAAGCTGAGGTGTGAACCTGAACTGATCCATAGGCCTGCACAGGGAGAGCTGCTTTGGTTACATTGCCCCCTGGTGGTTTGTGTAACTGCTTTAAATTAGACGTGTGGATGGATGCATTGGACATTAGTGTATTATATTTATATACTTCAGTTCAACAGTTGTCTTATAAGAATTATTTCCTATATGAGGCTCAAATATCAACAAACCATAGTAATCTCATGTTAAATATCCCACAATATTTGAACTTAGAATCGTCCCTCGTAACATCAACTTTTGTCCTAACATCCACATATTTGTATTAAATGCGGAGTCACTGGCTCACGTGACAAAGCAGGTAGAGAATTCACTTAAACTTAGAAATGTCAATAAAAATTCTGACGTTGCAGAACTATTAATATGTAGTGTAAAATGCAATAGAAAGGTGTGTACATTACCAGTGTAGTAAACAATGCTGTATTGATTTGGGATACTTCAAAGTACTAAGCCATTTTTAAACATCACAATATGGTTGTGTTGAAACTTAAGACTAATCTAAATTCATTGCATATTCCAAGAAACACAAAAGTTGTTTTGTTTTAAATTTTATTAGGAAGAACATTGTTGCCACAAAGAAAACCATAAACCTGTATTTATGACTCTGATGGCAGATCATTGGAAGTGGAAACACATTATTTTCCAACAAACGGACACTTGCTTCTTTAGAACATGGAATGACATACTACGCTAACAGGACTCATGCATCAACATTTTTAATATACTTTAACCAACCACATGAGCACAGAACTTGGGGACTTTTTAAACTGTAATACATGTGATTAAGTCTTAGAATATTTAGTAAAATCCTTGTTTGGAGGGTTTTAATGAACTTGATTTAAAAAAGAAGAATCCAGTCAATTCCTTCATGCATTCAGTCGCTCAGAGCGAGCTCTCAACCGAGCAGTCGCAGCAGCGAAGAACAGAAACATCTCCACTAGCGATACATCTACGATGCTTCATTAGCACGGGTGATAAGTTATGGACGGTAAAACATTCATTAAAAACAACAACATTTGAATTCTGATAAAAGGTTAAGCTAAGTTTGTTAAGGGATCTTGAGCGTTGTAATCTCACATTAGCATAACATTCAAAGCATTTCAAAAGGTGCTACTTTTACATGTTCATGTTGGGCTTTACTAGAAATATTAACAGCGTTAACAAATCTGACCAATGATGGCCGACATCTACTGAAGTTTGATTGGCTGTTGAATAATAATTGTATTGAGCAGCTTGGTTGTTATTGGAATGCGGTTTATGATTGGATGCACGTTTATATTTCCTGCATGAGACCAAATGACTCGACTGTAAAAAAAACTAATGAAAGTATCCTCCATACTCAGGTGCCAACAATCTCGCAAGGATTTTATTTACACATTTACAAAGATGCAAATTTGTGCGTGATGTAAAGACAATGCACCACCATAATGCACCGTCAGCATCCACATCACTCACTCTACAGCAGGCGGTGGAGCTGGACTACATAGAGAAGTAACGCCAAGTGTGAGGCACTGAGTTTGGTTTGAGGGTTTGAGCGGAGCGATGGGTACAAACATAAAAAGAGACCATAAAAATACTGAGACTTATTTAGTATCCTTCACCGTCTGCCTCCACTTCCACAGGTCGGAAATGATCTGAAGAAATACAAAACTGAAGGTGAATACAGTGACCAGACATTACAAATGTTTAGTTACAGAGAGAACCATAGCCCTTTTCTAATTGACTTCTATAAATTAGCGAGTCACAAAGTTGACTTTAAGCTCCCCAGTGGGAGGTCTCAAATTGGTATTAAAGTAACAAAATCGGAGCAATTAAAACCAGTACAATAACTTCCTTTCAGCAATTTAAAAACGGGACGCAAAACGTTTTGTATTTTGAAAGATGCTCCTATGCTGAGAACTATCAAGTCACCACAAACATTTTCGACTAATGTCAAGAGATGCTCCAGTCAGGTTTGCTTGTTGGTAACAACAGCCTGGTTGTTGTTTTGCTTCAGCAGAGCAGTGTTACAGTATATAGGTCAGTTTGACTGCATTGTAGTGTACTGGATCTCCACCAGGTGGCAGCGGAAGCTATGCAAATAATACTGTACAACAATTGTATGAATAAAATAAAAAGATAACCTTGTTGGCTTCTTGTTCTGTTATCAGATGTTTTTTTACATGGCGTGTAGACTACCTGATTGACCGCACGTTCAGAAGAACCACAACAAATGCACGCACACAGGAGTATTTTGAAAAAGTCTAACTGTTTCAGTCAGACATCAAGTAGGAATATTTTTTGAATGAAAGCATCAGCACAACCAAAATGGTTTGCGTTAACAAGAGTTTCGCAAATGTATCAACATCTTTATGGCAAGTCAACACTTCACTGATCGTACTGTACCTTGGTGTCGGCGACATTAAGACCGTTCTTCACAAAGTTCTCAAACTTGGCCTGGACACTGGGTAATTTGACTCCCTGCGGACCGGAAACAACAAATGAGCACATTTCAATATTGACACCATGTTTCTCTTAAGTTAAGAGGATAATGATAATTATAAAAGACCAGTTGAATTCAAAGCTTTTCCAAGGACACACACCTTCTTCACGGACTCCATCATCTTGCTCTTCAGCTCAGGGATGGTTGGGGTGGTTTTGGGAGTTGTTGGGGATTTAGGCGTCCTCTCCCCTTTACCTTTGGGGGTCTTATCCTAAAAAGGAACAGCACATTTAGATATTAGGAATGATACAATCATTTGGAGAAATTACACTGGATATGACAACTTCACCAAGTTTTAAATAATACAGTGACAACATCTCAAAACAGATATCATAAAGTCTGAAAAGGAGATCATTACCTGTTTTTTAGCAGGAGTGCTTGGCTTTGGGCTCTTGCCGTTCTGTTGTTTGGACGGTGTCACCTTGGCCTTAACAGGTGACTCTTCTTCCACGCTCTCATCCTCATCATCCCTAAAAAATAAACAGATCAATAAAAAGTCAAGATAGAAAAGGAACCACCCAAATCTCAGAAAAATGCATTACCGTAACGTATGCATTTAGAATGAATACATCTTTAAATGCAATGTCAGCGGTTTGATCTTAAAATCACCATTACTAACTTTGATCAAATGCAAACATTTAAACTATTCTTTTTTTATTAATCATTTCCTCCACTGTTGTTAATAAACCTCACAATTACTTTTATTAGAAAATATCAAGTCTAAATGTTGTGGGACTTGGTACTCACTCATCATCATCCTCTTCGTCTTCATCATCATCCTCCATCTCAATTTTCATTTTTTTCTGTGGAGGAGGTAAAGAGTTAGTCACTTGAAGTGAATTAAGAGATTACAAGATGAAAACAGTGACAGGTGCAAAAACAAACCTGAGACTTGGCGGCAGGGGAGGAAGCGGGTCGCTTCTTTGACGTTTTCACTACTTCTTCCTCCTCCTCTTCTTCTTCTTCCTCCTCGTCGTCTTCATCAAAGGACTGGTCGGCCTCCATCACTAAGATGAATTTAGAAGTGTTAGAATGCACTACTAACACTGACAAACGTGCATACTCAGACTTTAACAACAAGTGAATTATTTAAAAGCCCTCCCAATAAACCACATTGAAATCTAACAGTTAACACATCCTTATACTGTTGTAAGAAACACTCACTGACGAGGTGTTGTCCACTGATGTGGATTGGACCGGAACCTGCCTTCAGACGGAAAGTAGCCGGGGGGGTGATAGTGAAACCACCGAGACACACCTGCAACAAAAACGCTGTGTTAATTCTTTTCTGAGCGGGTGTTGGTGACGCAGCATTATCCAACCGGAGTAGGGCGTTTAAACGAGACCAAGAAGTATGTTCATGTATCGGTTTGTGTTTACTTACACTTGGCAGGGTGGAGGGCCTCAGGGAGACCAGCACTGCCTTGATTTTCTGACCCTCCATGTCCTGTCCTTCCACCTCCACCATGTGCAGCTCGTCTGCGGTGCCGGGGTCCACACAGGCCTGAGAGAGGGGGGGCAGCAGAAGACTGTTACCCTTCAGGGTCCGATCTGTTCATAATAACTACGTTTGCCAAACAAAGCCGACTAGCCACAGGAAAAAAAGTTCCATATAATAATCCAATAAATAGAGTTTCTACTTGTTCAAAACCATATTTGGCAAAAGGATCCATTTTAAGATTATTCAACAAAAATAATCTACACACATTCATACATTTAATTTGGATACTAACAAAGACAACAAAATGCAAACCATATAAATATAAGCTGAAATATTTGGACCCTAAAAAAAACTACAGTAAGGGAGAAAAGCTCATGCTTGACTTTGTTATAGGGGTATTAAGCTAAGACTCAAATTGCATTCATTAAGCTTTTGTGTAGTTATTGTTATGATTATTTCCAATATTTGAGGAGTGACAGGAAAGCAACTGAAAGGGGTTCAGTAAAAGACAGGATGATGATTGCCATTAGATTTGAACTTTAAATACAAATTTGACCGATTTTATTCTATTGGTGTGATCCACATTCAGCTTCTCGGGACACATCGAGGCACAAGGGAATGTTGAGTAAACAACGTTTTCATTGAGCCAGCCACTTCATAATATATGTACTAGGGATGCTCCGATCGATCGGTCACCGATCGAGATCGGCCGATACTCACTCTCTACTAGGGATGCATCGAATATTCGGCCACCGAAAATTATCGGCCGAAAATGGTTAAAAAGGCCCTTTCGGCCGAAAGGGTTTTAGCACCGAAAAAATATCACCGAATGTCAGAACAGGCTTACGTTGGTAACGTGTTGTTGTGATGACGTAATAAAGACGCGGCGACCATGCTCGCGGCTGGCTCACAGGGGGGGGGGACATTGACCTTTGTCATCGAGATTGCCCTGAGCCTTTAACAAATCGTATTAAATAATCTGATGACAGACTGTAAACAGAATAGCTGACATGTTAACAAACTAAATAACTCAGTTTCCTCTAATCATTAACCCATGTTTGTATCATGGAGTTAACTCCGTGTGTTGCTGCTAGCATACATAACACCTGACGTGGAAACGTTACTCGTGATGGAGCTACAGAGCTGCTAGAAAGACGGTCGAACCCGGTGCATTCCTCCGTCTGCATGCGGTGCACTTTTGCTAAATGTTTAGACAAATTGCTCGTGCTTACATGCTAAACTCTTATTGCACTTATGGTAACAAGTATTCTCCACATCGAGACGGGTAAAGTTTAACCACACCTCGGAGCGCGTTCTCTCCGCCATCTCCGCAGTGTGCTCCGCTGCATGTAGCAGCTGCGTGTGTGTAAACTGCCCCGCCCCCTCGTACACAGACGGGAGAGAGATCTCGTCTGATCGAAAATACATCATAGACGCATTTGTTGTCTTTGCATATTAGAAACGAGTCGGCGACACTAAGACTGCGATATCATGTTTTTTAGCAATAATACATGACATATATAAATGTACTGTATGCATTCAAAAGTGCTGAATAAATGTTTTATGGACCCATAATAGTGATTATTATTTAAGTTAAGTTTTGCCATAATCATGTCTATTTCCATAATCAGGTAGCTGAACAACATTGGTAAAAAATGTATACATTATATATATATATATATATATTTCTATTAATCATTTTCGGCCTTTCGGCATTCGGCCAACTGTTTCCTATTTTCGGTATCGGTTTCGGCCAAGAATTTCCCATTCGGTGCACCCCTACTCTCTACCGATCGAGATCGACCGATACTCACTCTCTACCGATCGAGATCGGCCGATACTCACTCTCTACCGATCGATCGGTGCTCTCTAAACATGCCGATCGCGAGAGCATGACGTAAAATACATGACACTTTTATCTGTGCGCGGCAAAACAAGCTCGCCAAAATGGCTTCACGGGTCTGGTATTATTTTAAGGTGTCCGAAAAAGACAGTAAAATAGCGGGATGCAACGTGTGTGAAGCAGAAATCCTGCAGCTCCGCCCGCAGGACCGGTAAGCGGAGCGAAACACACAAGAGTTAGACCTAACATACTTTATTTTATCTACCTCTGGAACAAGCTAAACTAGTCATAAATATATGTATTCTTTACTGTCGGGTCAGTCATTACTGGATCAGTGAGCTGCATGAGATACTGACAGGCTGTCAGGAGGGGGGAGATGGGGAGAGAGCGCTTCCACTCATTTCTCCCGTGTTATTATCCAAAGTGAATGTAAACTTGAATAATGTACATCATTTGAATGTAATAATTAAGTTGATTGTTGTTTGTGGAAGCTCCAGTGAATGAGCCCCATTAACTGAGTTTTAAACATCACTTTAAATGGAAGATTTAAAGTGATGTTTAAATCTTCCATTTAGGCCCCGCCCACTCGATCAGAATCGGCGATCGGCTGATACTGATTCCGGTGATCGGCCACGAAATCGGCGATCGGATCCTCCCTAATATGTACAAATGATCAAATCTCCGAGTACTCACCATTCTTAAATCAAGCTGATGCTCAAATTCATCTTCCTCCGGGTTGAACACCATATCCTTTCCTGCTTCCAGCACACAGCCTAAAGACAAAATGTACACAATGTAATCAGTCATTAGCCTTACAAATAAAAATTGGGGGAAGTGACTTCACTGGGGTGTAAAGTGTTATATTTCAAATGAACACAAGAGGGAGCCACACTGAATATGTGACTTTTCCCACATGGCCAGACACGAGGAATCACCACTAGATTAGGGGCTATAACTCTAAAACAATTCAATTAAACTGTATGGTTCAATTTAAGAAAACAAATTGGGTGTCTGTGTCTTATATTGTAATGTACTTGTTAAGTACATGTATAGCTTTCGAATAAATACATATATCTAAACACAATGTGGACTCTTCTTTTGTCTAAAACACCATTTCAACATTATAATCCATTCCTTACCGACCTATTACTCGTTCATATATGATATTACACGTGTCGACACAAGGCACTACATTTGACTTATCATTTTTGGACATCTTTCTTAAATGATATTCCAATCACAGTAAAATACAATAGCATCAGAGATTTTCAAAACATACAGCATATCATTTCTAAATATAATTTCCATCCCACGAGGAGGAAAGGTCGGGTGATGAGACAGAGTGCCACATATTTCAAAAGTAACTAGACATTGTAGCTAATTTAGTCTCAACGACACATATAAGGACATATAAATGTAGTTTTATAGGATGAAGTCAAAGAAACATAATGACCTAATTACAAGATAAAGGAACTACTTTAGCTATTGGTCGGAGGAAGCTAGCAGGCACCGCATGATATCAAACCACGTTGACTTTTATTTCCCACGACAAGCTCAACAGTCATCGAAAAAATCTGCTTAAAGATTCACAACATGTAATAGATACTGCCATATAGTTCTAATGTCTAGAGGAAATAAATTAATGGAATATCAAACGTTGTTCGCGAAACAAGGGCGCCGCCATGTTGTTGTATAGTCCAACACGTGTGTGCTAAGTAGCCTGCTCTGAAGCCATGCTGTTCACCTCATTCAACCTCCTGCGACCAACTCACAACCATTAACACCGCAAGACATTGTGCTAAACATACTGTTAGTATGACAGTATGTAGAGTATCTGCCTTTAATACAGTTTAATATGCAGTTAAATGCTTTATTTCATCAATTTCACACAAAAGCAACCTAGCATAAGGATGACCCGTTGTGTTAAAACACCTTAAAGTGACATGGTGAAAGACATGCAGAGGGTAATTCTCACCGTAAAGAAAGGTCTGTGGGGCCATTTGTTCTTCGTCCATTCCGATCATTTCTAGTATAAAACGCTGAGAGACTACTGCTTGTCTGCGGTGTGAAGAACGACCAACTACTGCTGCTGGAAAGAGCGCTAACTAACGTGGTCGGTGCGCCGCCTCCTGCTTCTTCTTCTTCTCTGACCCTAAACGAGACATGGAGAAAATACACAGCGCCACCCAGTGGACCACTATAGGTAGGACTCAGCCCACAGCCGTTAGATAGGATGGAAAGATGTGTTTCAAAAGCTTCTTCTTCTTCTTCTTCTTCTTCTTCTTCTTCTTCTTCTTCTTCTTCTTCTTCTTCTTCTTCTTCTTCTTCTTCTTCTTCTTCTTCTTCTTCTTCTTCTTCTTCTTCTTCTTCTTCTTCTTCTTCTTCTTCTTCTTCTTCTTCTTCTTCTTCTTCTTCTTCTTCTTCTTCAGCTTTGATAACACTTTAATTTAATCATTATAATCAATAATATATATATTTCTGAAATGGGCCTATTTGCATAATTAAAGTACATTTACTTTTGGTACTTTAAGTATATTTTCATGCTAATAGTTTTGTACCTTTTCTTGAGTGACATTTGGAATGCAGGACTTTTACTGTACTTGTAACAGAGTATTTCTACACTCTGGTACTTCTACTTGTGGTACTTGTACTGTACAAGCAGAGGTGGGAGAAGTACTTAGATGTTGTACTTAAGTAAAAGTAGAAGTACCAAAGTGTAGGAATACTCTGTTATAAGTAAAAGTCCTGCATTCAAAATGTTATTCAAGAAAAAGTACAAAAGTATTAGCATCAAAATATACTTAACGTTCTAAAAGTAAAAGTACTCCTTCTGCAGATGGGCCCATTTCAGAATAATATATATGATATGTTTTGATTATAGTTATTGATGCAGATTAAAGTGTTATCAAAGCTGGTAAAGGTGCAGCTAGTTTGAATGACTTTGTATACTGCAGGGTAGCTGGTGAATTTACTCCAGGTGGAACTAAAGTCTGATTTAAGTGTCGATTATGTTTTATATAATTAATCAAAATCTGCAAAGTAACTTAAGGTATTAAATGTATTTAGTACAAAATATCCCTCTGAATTGTAGAGGGTAGAAGTACAAAGTAGCAGAAAATGGAGATACTACAAGTACCAGTAAGTACATACTTAATTTATTTAAGACCATAGTATTTGTGCTTTTACTTACATAATGGATCTGAGTACTTTTTCCTACCCTTGGTGACATCTACTATTTTGTTGTATAGAACGCAGGTCTAATAATAGCTAAATAATTATAATGTAAGAAATGTATTATTTTTTATCACTCTCAATATTTAACTTGTTTTTATTTTGATAATAATCTTAATTTGTTCCATCAACTTTTATAGTTATTATTATTATTATTATTAATTGACTATAAAATCTAAACATTGTAGGAAGAATACTACTATAGTCCTGCAGTAAAGACACAGAAACAAAGACGACTGGAAAGTAAAACATCACTCAATTTAAGAATGGACCTGTTTATTTGTATGGCTTAAATATGTTTCTGTTGGTGAGATTTAATAACCGTTCCACGCAGAGATATCAGACACCAGAGGCTGTGATGTCACACTGATGCACCGTACAGAGAACAGCTCACTGACACCTGAAGTCTGTCTGTATCCGTCAGCGTGACATCACAGGGGGGTTCGGGTGGAGGAGGCAGTGCCACATGTTCACTAGATAGAGCCGTCCTACAGTAGGTGTCATCAGAACATCACATTCCAAAAAGCTGACATTCAATATTATTTCCCTGCAAGATTATCAGATTTGTTTCATACCAGGATTTTATTAGGATGGATTATATACTTAAATCTCAGCTTTATTGGCCGAGTATGTGTACACATAAAATGAGTTTTTTCGCTAATAGGTATATAATTTCATGTATAATAACATAGCTAACAGCAAACTCATACTTTCTTTACCATAATTGACTGCATCATGTTGAACCGGTCACCTGTGCAAATAAAACCGATTGGTTTGATGATCATAAAGCCTCTTTCTGATGAAAATACCCAATTATGCACATCATTCACAATACTTTTTTTCAAAACATTTTTTGACAACACTGATTTGACCACAGTAAGCAAAGCAGCAGGTGAAAATATAAAAGAATGATTCGATTTCTTTTTTTTCCACTAATACCTAAGGTCCATCATGGACAGGAAGACAGGCACGCAACATATCAGACTCAAATTGACTTTAGAGAGACTTAACAGCGAGCATCAGACAGACTCAGCAGCCAGGTCGACACAAAGGAACAGCAGTCACAGCGATGCATTCGATACATGTGGAAGTCTTTATGGCCAAATTCCCGTAATAAATCGGACAATTGTTGGGTGAAAAATCTAAACCTCTTGCAAAAGCATGCAATAATATTTTTGGCAAAAAAATATCCTCTTTTTTGGCAAACAAAGTTGTGCTGGTTAAACAAAAGCTCATTGCTGGTCGGGAGCAGCCTTGTAATGCAGGAGCATCTTTATCAGGTAACAGGACAATCTTCACGACAAGCACTGAGAGCAATGTCTGTCGCATCAGTCTCTTTGTATTGTGTGGGGACACTCAGTAGGAAGGCGAAAAGCATTCCAGTCCAGTCCTTTCTTTCAAGTTGTTGTGGATGGATATCCTCGTGGATTCATCTTCCTATTATACACACATGCATTTCCAAACATTTGGACTACCTATGTTGTAAATGTATTATCTTTTCAATTTACACACGGCATCTATTGCACGTCTTTCCGTCCTGGGAGAGGGATCCCTCCTCTGTTGCTCTCCCTGAGGTTTCTCCCATTTTTCCCTTTAAACTGTGGGTTTTCTCCGGAAGTTTTTCCTTGTACGATGTGAGGGTCTAAGGACAGAGGGTGTCGTATTGTCATACTGATATTTTGTACAAACTTTGAAGTCCACTGAGACAAATGTAACATTTGTGATATTGGGCTATATAAATAAACATTGATTGATTGATTGTGGGGGGAGGTCTGACTGTATCCAGAGGAGGAGGAGGAGAAACTGGATGTATTGCACATATGCATTCACACACACACACACACACACACACACACACACACACACACACACACACACACACACACACACACACACACACACACACACACACACACACACACACACACACACACACACACACACACACACACCAATCCCTCGCATTTCATTTGTGTCTTCATCAGCTCGACTTGTTCTACATCACGTTCTCAAACAACTGCATGGAGCTCATCATGGTTTCATCCTACAGAGAGAGAACACAAGTAATCAGGGTGGAATGATGCAATGTACTGACTCCATGATGTATAGGCTGCATGATGACAGCAACCTCCAGTTATAACATCACTTATCTACACAGATTCAAAACAATCCTGTACATGCTGAGGAGATACTTTAGTACATTAAGTATATTGAGAGTTATTGTATCGTTTTTATTGTATTTCTGTTATACTCTCTCATTTTATTTGTTTGTATTTCACATTCTATCTTCTTGTCTTGTATTATTTGCTTGTAATTGTATTTATCCTTTAGCACTGTCATTCATGATTGTGAATCCTGTAAGCCCATTGAGACAATCCGTTTGTGATATTGGGCTGTAAATAAACTTTGATTTGATTGAGATGCTAAAGTCAATTTCTACCGAAGCCCACAGAGGCAAGTGAAGAAAAAATGTTCTAAGTTTGATCTAAATAATTGTCTTTTTACCATACGGACTATGCTTTTTACTGATCTTTGAAAACAGGTTAAAAAAGTGTTGGCAGGTGAAAGCATTGTTTTATTATCAGGAGGATAGTTAGTTAGTTGCTGTAATACCAATATCTGCCACAAGAGGCTGCATCACCACCCCATGTTCTAATTTAATCATTTCATTTCCACCTTTTAAACAGATAAAAGAAAGCAATATTGTGTGAACCGCTGTGCTTAGAATACACGCTATGTAATATTTACAAATATACAAAGGAAGCACTTTTTACATGTATTTCTTATTATTTCAGATATTTCAGATGCAGGAGAATACATACCTCCTGGCAGGCTATAATAAACTCCTCTAGAGTCACTACTCCATCTTTGTTTTTATCCATTTTCTGTGGAAAAACACATTGCAATATAATACAAATCAGTCTCAAATATATCCTCTTGCAACACATATCGATTATAGTAACTACAGAAACATGTTTACAGTATTGAGTACCAACTGGAGAATCATTATAAAACATTTGCTAATGACTTCAAATGTATAAGCTTTATGCAACATAAACTTGTAAAGAGTCTCAATTAAGCTAATATTATCATTTTAGATCCACAGGGGTATCATTGAAGACACTTTACTTTTGACTTTCGTTGATCTTATATTCAAAATAAGACTTATTTACCCGGAAAAAGGCGTCCACATGCTGCTGCGGGACGTCTCCCTTTATTGCAGGGTAGGTGAACTTCCCCATCATGTCATAAATTGCCCTCACAATCTCCGTCATTTCCTGAGAACAGACACGGTCACATTGTGATAAGACACAGACTTCATATTCAACACTGTACACACTCTTAGAGCCCAACCTCACCTCTCTGTTTATGTATCCGTCTTTGTTAATGTCATAAAGATGAAACGTCCACTCGAGCTTTTCTCTCAGCGTTCCCCGCAGCAGTATAGACAAACCCATTACAAAGTCCTGATAGCAATGGAAACCAAGACAAAGTCAGATTCTGAAAGCATCATGGAAGCAAGGAATGAGTCTTTGACACAAAATGGAGGAGGACTGACCTTGAACTTAATGGAGCCATTGTTTGTAGTGTCGAAAGCATTGAAGAGATAATGTGCGTACATGCTTGCATCTGAAACACAAAAACAGATAACGTGAGCGGTCTGCTGCTGTGGAAAGGCTTCTCAGAGCAATGAAAGACATTTGATTGCACTTTACCTCCATGAGGGAAGAACTGTGCGTAAATGTGTTTGAATGTTTCCTCATCGACAACCCCACTTGGACACTCCTGAGGAAACACAAACACGGAGTAAGGTTCCTCCACTCTACTGTTGGAAGAAATCAGCAGCACTGTGGAGGCATGACCTCATCACATTTGACCCAGGCATCTCTTACACATTTGAGCTAGTTAGCCAGCAAATTGCAAAAAGAGCATTTTTTAATTGTTAAGCAGAAAAAAAATAGCTGTATTGTTTATTGCTTTTCTTTAGTTTGATATAAAACCACTGCAGTTAGGAACAATAACCCTTTCAGGCCTTAACACACGTTTTTTGTATGTACATTTATTTTTTTTAAACTGCATTTTGTGTCTTGGGTAATTCCACACAAAATACAAATATTCAGTGCCAAACCTCAGGGTAACTTTATAACTCAACATTGACAAAGGCAGCACATACACTGTTTTTCACAATAATTCACAGTTTTTTGCATTTTTGTGTAGTTTTTTTTACACAAGTGAAGACAAAGGATCTTAAAACAAATCTAATACAAATCTGAAAAGCTAGATGCCATTTGGGGAAAAATAAAGTGTTTTTATTAAGGTAATCTACATTTTAAAACTTGAAGTTACTTGAATTCACCAAGATAATGTAATAATAAAAGCAGAAAGTGTGTGTTTACATTCTTGAAGCCACGATAGAGGATCTGCAGCTCCTGTTTGCTGAAGTTGGTCTGCGCCTCCAACTGGGAAAGACCCTCCGGCCGGTAACACACCGTCGTCATCTCCAGCTCATCATCTGTTCTATCTTCAGCCAGAAAAGATAGAAAGATAAAAAGACATACGTTTATCACACAGAATCATGTCAAGACTTCCTCAATCCCTGTCTGACAAATGCTCTCCCTGTAATACACACGAGTCATCTTAAGGATGTGAGGGTGGCAGCAAAGAAATACACATAGGACGGCAACAAAGAGCGCTTGCGGGGGAAGATGAAAGAGTCACAATTCACAATGAGGTAAAAAAAGGGAGAAATGGATTTGGTGGAGGGAAAATACATGCGTCTGACAAATAGATCCCCTTGAGGGGTGTATTACTGTGCTCAGTACTGGGTGCTGTGAAGATGGATGGTGGCTAATGATGTAAGGAGTACTCATATTGCTGGGGGTAAGGGTTTGTCACTACGACTGTCTCCAGCTACAGGGCTAAACCAACATCCCAGAATCCGGCAGAGGACACAATCCACACAACAAGTTCTAAGAGATGAGCAAACATCGGAGAGAAAACAGGACGTTTTTATTGCATTCACCGGCAGCGTATTTGTTTACACATCAGTCTCTTGTTTACTTGTATATCCCAACTGGTCCCTGTGATATCAGCAGTGTATTTTTGCTTTTATGGAGACCAAGTGATACATCCTATGATGAGTAACTTCAACAAACAAAACCCCATCGGATCTCGCTAATTTCCACAAAGGAACATGAACAATGCACACACAAACAAGATGTTTAGCTGTGTCTGCATCACTTGGTTCGATTAAGGAAAAGAGATTGAGATGAATATATGATGATGGCTATTTGGATGGCGGCGATGACTCACTCGACCCACTCAGCAGCGGTGTCCTGTCAAGATGAATTCTAACCGCTGAGACTGTATCTAGTATCATGCATCATCTGTCAGAGGAAGATTCTAATTGAATATCAAATATCTTGTTGGTCATCTGCTATTAGCAATTCCCCGTGGCATTAACTGTTTGTGATGCTAAGTGCTAAATGTAAACTTTAGTTAGCTGCATTTGTTAGATGAATTGCTTCTTCTTGGATCTATGAATCGTCTTTATTTGGTGCTGTTTATTTACTATATTTAGTTTCAAGCTTTACCGAATGGTCTTGGTGTGTTTAATGAGATTAGACAAGACTTACAAATATGTACAGTGTTTCCCCTAGGATGGAGTCATATCAGCGGTGCTAAGGCACGTGGGCCCAGCATAATGTGAGCGCGTGGAATTGTTTAGTGTGTGCACGTGCGAAGTGCGCCCCGCCAATTTGTTTCTATATGTCTGCCAGCACAAGAAAGGCTCTTGAGGCCTAGTACCAGGGCCGGTTCTAGCCAATTTGCTGCCCTAGGCGAGATTTTATATATAAAGAATAAAGGAAAAATCTCTACAAAAGACAAATACACTACAAAAACAGAAACGTATTGACATAGGTAATATACGTCAAAATGTCTTCAAATTTATTAATTATTGTATGAACATGTTTGAATTGTGGGGCGAACGTCACATCCTCTAGGGGGGTCCGGGGGTATGCCCCACCGGGAAGATTTTTTTGAACATTTTAAAGTAAAATGCTTCAATCTGGTGCACTTTGAGCACACAATTACTAGAGACCTGATCTAGGGGGTACAACTCTAAAACACCCATATGAAAAAGATCAGTTTACATTTTAATAATCAAATAAGTATATGAACATAACCAATAACCTACCATAGCCAATAACAAATACATTTAGCTTATTTTATTTTTGTTGTTCATTCATATCTTATTTTACCAGTTAACATTTATTTATTTAAACAATATTTTTGGATTACTGTCCTATAGTATACATTGGAATGATTTCAAACCTGTTTGTATTTATCCTAATAATTATAAAGGAGTGCCTTGGAAATATGTGTTAACATAATTTGTGGTCAAAACGTTTGAGACCCACTGAGAGAACTAATGGCACATTTCCACTGCAGCGGGGTAGCCCCGTTGAAGCGTCCCTAAGCGTCCTCGCTCAGGCCTCGGGCTGCCTCGCTGGCCGTCCGAGGCCGTGGCGCATTTCCATTACAGTTTAGGACCTGGGGTAGCAACGCAGTGTAGGCGGGGCTCCCATCGAGCTCTCGCTGGATTTTATCATCCCCAATGAGATGTAGGAACGTCGTCACCTCCTCGGTCGACCACGGTGTGCTTTTCTTTGACGTTGCCATTTTTGTAGCTCCTCCGTTTACAAAAATGCTGTGTATAAAAATGCTGCAAGCTTGCTTTTAGATATATATGCGACGCTAGGGATGATCTCGCGCGCGATCTTGTGACGATTCTCTCTGACCAATCAGCAGTCGAGAGTGTTGACGTCACTAGTTCAGCCCTGGCCCTGGTCTGAGGGAACCACGATTTTATGGGGCCGGAAAAAGAGGGAAAAGTACCCGCTAGCCGGTGCTACGCTATATGGAAAGGCCACCAAAAACTGGCCTGGCCGCTTGAGGACGATGAAGGACGCTTAAACGGGGCTACCCGCTGCAGTGGAAATGCGCCTTTGGACTAAAATTAACTTATCTAAACACTCAGAGAGTCCTTTACCTCACTGAGCCTCTCAGTCTGACAGGAGAGCTCTCCTCCACCCTGGTTGTAGAAACATCTACTTCTTATATCCGTTAGCGCAGCTAGCACCAGATTCTAATAACAACAGCGCCGGTACCGGTGCACCCTCTCTCTCTCTCTCTCTCTCTCTCTCTCTCACGCTCGCACTTTGGCTGTGAGCTGCAGGCGCCTGATAAGCCAACGGTCAAAAATGTTTTTTCCCTCCCAGAGCTGTCAGCGCAGCGCCCCCCAGATCTGGCGCCCTATGCCAAAAAATCGGCCCTGCCTAGTACATACAGTGGCAATGTCTCAAGATTTAGCAAAAAAAAACCTTTATTGAACATACAGTAACACAAATACTACAAATCCACATAACAAACAATCAAAAATTAAAAAGGGTCGCCACTTATTATTATTTTAATAAAAAAATTACAGGTTACCCTGCTGGCACCCCCTAGCAGAGGCATGCATATTTCAGCAGCGGCGCTGCGCCGCCACTATTTGTATATAGGGGAAACACTGATGTAGGATATGAGGCTTCCCTATTAGCTTCAAGATTATCCAGAAATAATGTGGAATTAGCTGGAAAGACATCTTCCATAGTGACATCACTATGTAACACTCACACTTCTATTGGCTAGCTCTCCAACACATTGTACGTGATAGGCTAAGGGGCGGGACATCTGTTAGCGGTTGACCAATCACATCAGAGCCGGCCAGCTAACCAATCAGAGCAGACTGGGCTTTGGTTTCAGACAGAGGGTGAAAAGAGGTGCTGTAGGCAGTATGAGAAAAATAAAGAGCTTTTTGAACATTAAAGCATGGAAACATGTCACAGTAGAGGCACAAATACAATTGTGAACCTGAAAATGAGCATACTAGTGCCCGTTTAAAGGGAAACGTTAATCCAAAAATCTAAAATATTTGTTCAGAAAATATTAGCCATTTATGTCTGTCTTCTCTGGGGTATTACGAAACTACACGTAATTTGGTTTACGTGATTATCTCAGAGCATAAAACGATTTTGTTGAGTTTCTCAAATGTATTTTTGCACTTGGATCCATTTCCATTATATTGGACAGATGACAGAGAACTCTATAGCTGACACTGTATATCCAACACTCGACAACAAACAGCTAAACAAACTGAGATTGATAAATAGCACTTACACTGCATATTAGGTTTTGGGGAAGCTATACTGCCACTTTAATACATTTAGTGTGACATTAGGGGAGGCTGTGGCTCAGTGAGGTAGTGCGCTGATCTTCGGATCAGGGGAGAGCTTGAGTCCCACTGCAGTCAGCATGTTGTTGTGTCCCTGGGCAAGTCACTTCACCCCAAATTGCTCCTGTGGGGATTTCCCACAGTACTGCATGTACGTCGCTTTGGATAAAGTGTCTAACACGTGAGATGTCATGTAATTAGCATATTCTGGCATATTGATTCCGCTTTTATCGAATAGACACTGATGCTGAACTGTGGAATATACTTTCAGCTATCAGCTGAACATACAGTATGTGTTTATGTAAAGCTTCCTCTCAATCCCTCCATCTTTCTCTCAGCTTGTGTTGTGATCTCCCTGGCTCTTGTTGTCATGGGGATAGATACAAAGGATGAGGTAATGCGTAATATACTAGATTGACTGATTAAAAAAAAGGTGTCAAACACAGTTTGAACATTCATCTTCTTGGTGAGTAAAAGCGTGTCACTCTCTCACCACCCGACAACACTTGTATTTGCTTTCCTGCAAACGCTATAGTGTGATCAGAAACAGATGAAATGAAATGAGGGTGAGAAAAGGAAACGGGGAGAAGTGTTGATTAGAAAGGGGGGGGGCATGGAGAAATGGGAAAAGAGAAAGACGGAGGTGAAAGTGTGAAGAAAAAGGTGAGAGAAAGAGAATAACACAATATGTTCAGAGGACATAAACAAAACATGGTATTTGATGAAAGCCAACATTAAGTCACTGATCTCTGAAGCAGGATGAGAAAAAGGAAATTGACTTGAATTTTGGGGTTACTGGCAAATTAAGGGGGACATGAACTGTTGGTCTGATGAAAATAAACTTCTGGGGGAAAGGGCCAATATTTCAGATGTTGCTGTGTTGCCAGGATAACAAATATCCAGAGGTATTATTGCGTACAGTACAAATAACTACTTCAGATGCGAGAATATAGTTGAGAGATGCGTCTACCTACGGATTGTTTCACACAAAGCGATAATAAACACAGTTAACAGTTTATTTGTCAGTTAAGTAGCTTAATCAGCCTCAGACTTTAGCAAGGGTTTCCGAGATAGCTCTCCACATGAATTGTTTTTCTGCACACAACTAAAACCCACTAAAAACACGATAGGTCAATACTACTCGGAGTACAAACAGAAAGCAGATTCCAACATCTTGTCCATTGCCTAGACATATTTGCATTTATGTGCAGCACATATCTGTTAAGAGATTTACGCCTGGGTTA